TTACTCTAGAATCGTACAAACATAGATGCACTATGGTCGAGAAAGTTATTTGTTGCTGATATATGTGCTTGAAAAATTTTAAAAAAAACCACCATCGTAGTAACAGACAGACTGCTATTGAAGTCAATATGTACACGGTAAATATTAACTAAAAGTTTACAAGAACATATGAGAAAACTCAAAATACAAAATTACACTACTGCATACATGGAAAGTAAATTCAAACCGCTCGAATAAAAAAAATTGATTAATTTTGACATCGATCAATTATTGATAATAGAGGATTGCAAATATTGAAAATTAATCAAAACAGTAAGCTACTTATGTACGCTATAAACATTGCTCATCATATCAAGCAATAGACCAGATGATTATCAAACGATGGATGGAGATTAAGGGTGCGAACGATTGGCAGAACAGTATGCTACGTCACTCACGTCTAGACCCGTTGCACGTTTCTGTCTCGTTTCGTTTTATCAACGAATTTTACAAGGGCTAATTATTGTCTTTCATGCTTTTGTAGTTCCTCGATGACTGGAATGACATAGCACGCGCTCCGAAAAGCTCTGATAGACATTCGTATAGGTGTGAGCAGCCGTGCAGGATTATCACATCTGCTTCCATTGTATACTGTATGGTTCGATCTACGCTGAGGAAGGTGTGGCTGTGGAAGTACTGTTCTACTGATACGGATCCTCACTCACACCCACACCCCACACACTTTATTCTTTTATTAAATCAGGAAGAAAAGAACCATCTATTGTCTAATAAAGGATTGTAGAGGAGACCCAGAGCTATCTATCTATGAAAAAAAACGATAGGTTTCTACCCGAAACTTTTAAGCAAAATCCTTGTTTTCCAGAAAATTCTTCTAGATTCCAATATCGAAAGGTTTTTAAGAATTGAGTTTGATAGTAAAAACGTAGTCTAGAGTGTCCTGTTTCTATTGCTGAAAACTTCAGATCGATAGCTTTTGTGGGTTTTGAATTATTATTCGAAAAACAACCAACTGCATTATATTTTGACATCGATATTCATATTCTCATTCATTCCTTGCACATCGTTTTAGTACTGTAATTATTTATAAATCAATCTAATTTCGACATATTTTATTTAAATAATCATTCATCACAATTAGCATATCTCTGTGTAAGGAAAATAGTCTTTTACATGTTTAAGAATCGTATATTCACCATGTAGACGTAAATAACGCAACTTTGCACAATTGATTCGTGTTATATTTCTTTGAAAATTGTGTGTCACTCTTGCTAGTGATTGATAATCAATAATAAGATAAAGATTATTCGACAAACACATTTTCGTATCAAACAAAAATTGTTCAATATAATCATCATGAACACAACCTAGATTAAGTAGAGTAAGATGAGGATATTTGATAATTGATAAAGTTTGATCATAATTTTTGAAATTTTCATATTGTTTTTTGTTTTGTGGTTTTTGATTAATTACAGTTAATTCTTTCATAAATGGAAATGATTTTTGAATTCGAAGAAAGAATTCATGTTCAAAAGGTTGTTCATCAAATAGTGACACTTCAGTAACATATTTAAATAATCCACCTGGAAAATTATTTGTAATATTTCTATAAAATTTTAATTTATATGGATATGAATAAATGTGATATTCACTGTGTCCTGCCTCAGGAAAATAATTAACATAAGAAATAATTTTATTATTTTGAAGACTATTGAATGTATGTTGAATATCTTCATTTAATGGTAAACGAATTTCATCACAAAAATATCTCATTGAACGTATGTTAAATACAAAATTTTTTAATCCTGGTATTCGATTGATAATATTTTTCTTCAAATCATTACTATCAACAAATTCTTGATTACATTCGATCATAAGATGTAAATCAAGTTTTTCTAAATTGATCATTCGATATAGAAGTGGTAGAATTGATCTTTCATAACTATTTGTAGTGCTATCACAATGAAGCGAAAAACATTTTAAACTAGATAATTTTTCCTAAAATAAAAAGAAAATACTTCAATTCATTTAAATAAATTAAATATTAATCTACCTTATTATTGATTGTTGTAGCTAAAGCGAAAAGGGAAAAAATATGAACATGAAATGAATGAAGTTGATTGAAACGTCCATCAAGTAAATAAAGACAATCAATAAAATGATCCAAACAGACATGTAATTCTAAGAGAGTTGAAGAAATAATAGTTGGAGGTGGAATACCAAATGATAATCGTTGATAGAAAATTGAAGATGGACCAAAATTTAGATATTTTAAATTGGGGAACATAGTAAAGATTTGTGTAAATATAAATATATGCTGATATTCTGATGAACTTTGTTCGTCATTTTCCACAATATCAATAACAAGCGATAAGATTTGATTTTTCAAGAGAGGATTGAAAAAACTTTCGTCTAAATAAAAATAATATTCATTAATTAATTATAAAGAGGATCGAAAAAAAATCTTACCAGTAAAGAGCGATGGAGCTACTTCTACATTAATATCATACAGACCAAGTCCATATAAATTTGGATAATTTGTAGCAGAAAGAATACGTTTCATAGACGATGATTCAAGATTAAGCCATTGGATTTTATTATGAATTTCAGGTAAAATTTGTGAACAAAATCGATTAAGCATTGGATCTGGTAATGGACAGATGTAATGATCATCCGAAAAATATTGATATAAGTTCAAACAACTTGAAAAAATTGAATCATGTGCAATTGTATTGAGTCGTTTATTAACACCTATGAAATAGTAGAGCACTTCGACATTGTATAATTTTTTCAAAATAATCATAATTATCTCATCAGGTAAATCATTTAATCGAGCCCAGAAATGTTCCATATTTATTTTCATTCTATTTTTTTTAACTCACACATATGAATATTTATATACATACGTTCATTTCATCTATTTGACCGATATCGTCAGTGAGAACAATGATGTTTTACATAGTTTAAATCGACAGTGAATGAATGAATAAAAAAATGGCATTGTTTCTTCGCCTGTTTTCTTATTCTACATGTCGATGAACATTGGCACAATATCTTTATTTTTAATATACTAAACATTATAATATGGTGGTCAATATGTTGTTTGTATTTGTTAGAATACATTCTTTAAGAGCTAAAGATTATTTTGTTTAGATATTTGTTAAATACGTGGAAAGATGATATTCAACAATTATTCGTATCGATCTCGTATATTTTATTTCGACGTAATTATTTATAAAATTATTATAAATAAAAAAATAAAATGTATTATTTTCTAACTCAAATTCTTCTATAATAAATTCATTTGTTTGTTAATTAAAAAAATAATATCGTATTTTTGTTATAAATAACAACGTTTCATTCAGAAGTCAGAGAAATTAAAAAAAAAAAGATCAATTGTTCTGTAGGTGTTTTACACTCAGTCCTCGCAAACCAAATAAGTACACAAACCAATGGGAGAAAAACTTGTTCCAAACTATTCGACTAGTTGGGCTTTAAAATTGAGTTTTAGCGCCTTAACATTACCAGAATTGTTATTTTTGAACTCTAATGATTGTGTCGATGAAATGTGATAGAAATGTATTAACTGTTTATCACTTCCTTTATAACCATAAATTTGACTTCTATAAGAGAATGAAAGGAAGATGATTAGAAGATTTTATCTTTCTTTCTAAAGGAAATGACGCTTTTACATAATCTATATCCTTTCCTGGCTAAGTATTTTTGTCGTTAAACTACTTTTTGATTGTCAGTTGTGTGAATATATGGAATCATCGAATCAGACATCTTATATTTTAATATTAGAATAAAAGAAATACAAAATGTCTGTAAGTTCTTTTTTTGTCGTCTATGGCTACTTAAATAGTGTAACAAAGCAAACATTACGTCTGAATAAATTAGCATGATTTCGAATAATTCAGAATGTTGAAGCTTTTTTCCTTTATATTAATCTTTAATTTGTCTATCATGTGATGTCCAATTGAAGAAAAACTATTGATTCTCAAAGTGTTGGATACATCTACTTGCGAAATCTAGGCTAATTTAGTTCGAAAATTTATTCAAATCGGTTTAATTGAAAAATGATAATCTTAGAAGTAATACTATCTTTAAAATGTCAATATAGTACTTGGTAAAAATTCTGCATAGACACGAATGTTTCAAAATAGATGGAAATCCGAATCAGGTTTTCTTCATTCATATAAACTTTATACTGAATTTTGTTTGTTTCAAAAAGAATCGTTTTTTTCGAGTGATACTCTTGTCTATCACCGTCGATCGAAAGCTCTTATGAAATATCAAAACTAAAGAGAAAACTCGTTTTTTTGAATCCAGATGGATTGATTTGATCTCAATTCAATTAAGAAGTATAGATTTGATCCAATAGATGACACTTATTCTATATATGCCACTAGTTTACGTATACTGATTAGAATCATATTTACTGAATGTAGAAAGAATATTTTCGTCACTACCATTGTAAAACAAAACTTTTATTTGACAACTACACAAGGAATACTTTCTGTATGATAATTATCAAGAAATAGTCTTACTACCATTAGCAATCATTCTGTACATTTAATGAATGCGTTATCTTTGACAAACTCTTATTCACAAGTATCCTTTCCTAAAAATGTTTCGACAAATTTTTTAAATTCTCTAGACATCATAAACTTTTCAAAATTTCATGAAAGTGATATTCTTGAAAAGTTCAACAATTCTAGCAATTTTTAATTATAGAATTAAATTGAACAAGTAATGCATTTTACTGTTATATTTCAATGGTCTTATTACAAAAATATAAATGCAATCCAATAGAATATAAGATACATACCTATACGTGTGTTAAGAACTATTCATTGAATTTAGTTAAGTTACAATGTTCTCATAAATAAACTCTTTCTTAATTACACTTTTCGCTTTACAGTGTCTTAACAGGTATTACTTAGGGCGTACAAAAAGTAGTGGCCGAGGTATCTGAATTTCATATACAATGTTTGAAGAAATTTTCTTTTTGTATGGACTGATAGTAAAAAAGAGAGACTCTGCATTTCTACACTATGTAATCATTATTCATCTAATATCATAATAGTAAAATTTTCATTAGACTTGTTAAGCTATGATATGTAATGATAACAATAAAGGAAAAAAAACAGGCGGATATTTTTTGATAGAAACAAGATAGAGAACTGCGGTTTTCATCATTAAAAAGAGAAGAGAAAGACGCATTGAATCATATATTGAAGGCTCCCTGACTGATTTTTGTAACCTTTCCAACCGACCTTTTTGAAAACAAGGGTACTCCTGTGAATTGGTCACAGTGAATCTTCAATTATCAGACATGCGTTTAAATTGTCAATGGAAGACTTACAAAACTCTGGAAATACTGCCGGTATATATTTTATCATTCAGCGGTTATAGGTATTCTTGTCGATACTCTAAATCAATTTCCTAAGAATACTGCGAAAAAACAAAAAATCACTTTTTTAATAAAAGAGCCATGTTTTCAATGTTTAGAAAACTGATTGAAAAAATTTCAGAAATGATATTAGAAAATGCTAAGACATACGATTCGATGCGTCTTTATCTTCTCTTTCTAACGATGAAAATCGCAGTTCTCTATCTTGTTTCTATCAAAAGTTATTCAAAAAATATCCACCTATTTTTTTTTCCTTTATTGTTATCGTTATATATCATAGCTTAACAAGTCTAATGTAAATTTTACTATTATGATATTAGATGAATAATGATTAAATAATGTAGAAATGCAGAGCTTCTTTTTTTACTATTAGTCTATACAAAAAGAAAATTTCTTCAAACATTCTATACGAAATTCCAGTGTTCGATCCAGAATTTTTAGATATGCTGGATCTCAGCTTCAAAACATGGGATTCAGATGAAACTTACAGAGGGTGATATTGGAGCCAAATGATGAGTTTTTATCAAAAATTTTTTTCGATTGGAATTTGCGAAAAAAAATTTTTTGTTGGCCCTCCACACCGTCAATTTTTTTGCTTTTAATACTATTCTGTTTTTCCGATGTGATTCGAATCGGATAAAAACCGACGATATATCGCCAGTTTTGCTGAAACATAGAGTGTTGTACAGTCTTGTATCAAAACCGCTGAATATTTTTTAAGTCTGTTAAAACCAACAGAATTAAGCCATTTTTCTTGCTTCAAGATAATTTCGATGTACTTGAGCCACCTGTACTAGCCACAGAGCCTATTTCGGCTCCAATTCTGAAGTAAATTTTTAACTATAGAGAGTGCTACAAAAATTTCTATTATTAAAATATTTTATAAAACTGTTTCTTTCTCGATAAACTGCAATTCTTTCTGATAATAAATTGAAGCTCAGGTAGAAAACGCTGTCTGCAGGCGCTTATAATTGGGACCGAAACTTGTAAAGGCTACCGCCGATGGATCGTCAGTATACCGCCAGTTCTTTTGAGTACCGCAGTGTACCGACGGTACTGAAAAGAAACATGCGACGTGGATTAGAATTTAATCGTAATCTACATCAAATTTCATCGACAGAGTTAAAATTTCATCGAAAAATTTGCATCCGTTCAGGAGATATAACGTTTTGAATTTTTGCGAAATTTTTTGCGACATGTGACAAAAATTCAAAACTTTATATCTCCTGAGCGGATGAAAATTTTTCGATGAAATTTTAACTCTGTCGATGAAATTTGATGTAGTTTACGATTAAATTCTAGAAAACAGAATACTACTAAAAGCAAAAATATTGACAGTGGGGTGGGGAAATGTGAGAGGAGACAACAAAACAATTTTTTTCGCAAACTCCAATCGAAAAAACTTTTTGATAAGAATTCATCATTTGAGACCAATATCACCCTTTATAAGTTTCATCTGAATCCCATGCTTTGAAGCTGAGATCCAGCATACTTAAAAATCCTGAATAAAACACTGCAAAATTCAGATACCTCCGCCACTACTTTTTGTGTGCCCTAAGTATAATCAGCCTGAAAATATTCTATTGGATCGTCATGGTCATATTAAACTAGTTGATTTTGGTTTTTGCAAAGTAAATGTACCATTCAGATAAATGACTGTGACGTTCTGTGGTACAACACAATATATTGCACCTTGGAGTATTATTCCAAAAAGAATTTCTGCTTAATGAAATCGTAAAAGTGCTGAACAGCACTCAGAGCATGAATTCAGTTGAGATAAAATTTCACTCATGCTGGTAGAAAATTTGTTGAGAGATAATGATTCCGAATTAATACACGAAGCGATTAGCTTCACAAAAACTGAAACTAATCTCAGAGGTATTCCTTAGACTTGTACGAATTTGCTAGTAAAACCATAAAGACTTTAGTCCAAAGATCTGAAACATATGAGAAGAGAAATGATCATTTCATAGAATATACATTACAGTGATTCTCTTCTCCTTCTGTATCTTTACACCAACAGTCTTATTCAAGCATCAGTATGGAGTCTTTTGCGCCTCGCAAGATATGAATAATATCCTATAAGATTTGTGCTTTATTAAAAGTTACTCTTCATTGGTTACACTCTACGTTTTGTATTGTTCTACAACCGGTTTTTTTAGAAATAAAATACGGTAAATTTTTGTAATAAAAGTTAACTGAAAAAAACTGTATTATATGAATAGATTCTTCGAACGACATCATCTACACACGCGATTGATTCGTAGGGTGTTAGTATCGTTATGTATGAATGTCTTATTGGTCAATTACTATTTGCTGATAGTAAAAGTCAAGATGATCTTTTCTAAAAAAATTCTTAATCTTGCACCAACATATCCATCTAGTTTATTATCAGCTGCACTTGATTTGATCAAACATTTTCTTGAAAAAGAACCAACCCAACGGTAAACAAGAAAAAAGAAATATTTATTCAATAAATTATTATTTTTTTTAAATTTTGGTATTAGTTCAGGAGTAGAAGATGTTCGTGAGGTTGAACGTCATCTATTCTTTTGTAATATTCCATTGGGTTTCTATAAATAGAAAAAGGTCTGTTTTTTTCCTATCAAATAAACTTATAAATAAAAAGAAAAGTTTTTAAGATTTCACCTTTTTTTAAACCAGAACTTGACTCAGATACAGATACGAGTTACTTTCATACAGAATTTAACAATGAACGTATTTGGGTAACACCATCTGATCATACGAAAAAAACTTTTTATCATTTGAAATAAAATCAAATAATCCATTGTTAGGTAGTACCGAATCTATCAATGCTCTTGGCATGTCAGATAATGCATTTGAACGATGAGTTTTTTTTTTCATCTAAATAATCATAATAATATATTAGTTAATTTAGTTTTACTTATGTTGCTGAGGATAGTTTAAGTCATATTGCATCTCGATCAGTTTTATCAATGACACTATCCAGTGTAGCTTGTTCACAATCAAATATATATCTTGTTGATCCTGATTATTATCATAAACATCAAAATATTCATAATTTACCGACACAATATTCTGTATCAACAATTAATATACCATCAATGGCTATTGATGCATCATCATCAGTACTTAAAATTGCTATAAGTATGCAACAATTAAAAGGTCCAGTCATGAATATGAATAATTGACTCGGTCATTTAAATGATCAACAAAAAATGAATACGGATGCAGATTAACTACAATAACAATCGGTTTCATCAATACCAGAAATTTACGAACAACAATTAATGAATGAACGTCTTATATGTATACAACGAATGATGACTAGTGGACAAAATATTGCTTCAATATTTAATGATTATCCACATTTTGCTCAACAAATAATGTCTTATATGGCAGCTACTCAACAAGGACCAGATGTTATTGAAATAATGGGTGAATAGAATACTCGTCTGAATATGTCAGATTTTCTTATTATAAAAAAGAAAAACAATCGTCGAATTCGGTTTTGTCTATCAATAATATCTCAACTTAGTAGTAGTTAGAGAACATGGTTCGAAAGAGATGTTACCGAGCCTGAAAAGTTTTTTTTTTTGACAGTTTAAAAAAAAATCTACAACCAATAGAGGAATGTCAATTAAAAAATATCTTGTAAATCTACTGTTCTTCTAGTAACCATGCTTCCATATTTACGATTTCTTGCGATGAACCAACATTACCAGCAGGATGTAATAAAACTTGTGCATTGAGATGTTGATCTGGTGAATGATTTGTTGGAGATAAATGTTGACCAGATGGATGCTGAACTGTTTCTGAACTTGGATCAAGTGGATACTGAACTGTTGTTAAACTTTGATTAGATGGATAAGAAGCTGCATTTAAATTTGAACCAGGTGGATACGGAGCTGTTGCTAACAATGGATCGTGTGGATAATGAACTGTTGCTAAACTTTGATTAGATGGATAAGAAGTTGTTATTAAATTTGAACCAGGTGGATACGGAGCTGTTGCTAACAATGGACCGTATGGATAATGAACTGTTGCTAAACTTTGATTAGATGGATAAGAAGCTGTTATTAAATTTGAACCAGGTGGATACGGAGTTGTTGCTAACAATGGACCACTTGGATAATGAACTGTTGCTAAATTTCGATCAGGTGGATAATGAGCTGTTCTTAAATTTTGATTAAATGGATACGAAGCTGTTGTTAAACGAAAACCAGGTGGATATTGAGCTCCTGCTACTAATGGATTACGTGGATAATGAGTTGTTGCTAAACGAAAATCAGGTGGATAAGGAGCTGTTGCTAAATTTGAACCAGATGGATAGTGAGCTGTTGCTAAACTTGCACCAGGTGGATATTGTTGATTACCTTGTAAAGATCGTTGTTCATCAGCAATGACATCACGTTGTGTTTTTTTTTGTTTTTTTTTGTATATTTTTTCATAGCTGATATAATCATAAAGATTTGATAATATTTTATCAACGTTTTTCATAAATTCCGGAATATTGAACAACTTTCTATAAAAATTGATTAAAGTGAATTACTAGTTGAAAGAATGGATAAAAATTTAGTCAAACATACTTATTTTGATTGATATGATCCTTAATAGGAATAGTATATTGAAATTTTGGACTTTTACTAACCTAAAACAGAAAAAAAAACGATGATTATCATATGTTTTTAAACTTACTTGTAAATGAAGTTTGTATGTGGTATCAGTGATGAAATGGGACGATCTTAATTGTAAATTATTTTTTCGAAAGTTAATTTCCGTTGCATCGTTGCTTCTGATGAACTGTATTATTTCGCTAGTCTAAAAAAAAGGTGATAAATGTATAGATATATAAATGTATGTTCTCACATTTGCTCCCATATCGATTCGATAATTCTTCAAAAATAAGCAATAACAAAATAAGATAATAACTTGTTCATCTTCCGAAGCACGATCATCTTTGTATAACTCAAGTAAAGTTTCTAGAAAAAGATGATTTTCCATGATCTAAAATTAAATCATAAATATTCAGAATTCTAAAACAAAATAAAGGTAAAAATAACAAATATTGCTGTTGCATCTTATTTAATAAATACAACACATGTATTAATCTTTGCGATGTGTTAATAACCAAAAAATGTCTATTAACATTATAACAAATAATCGTTCGACCACAAACAACGAAAAAACGGACGAAAAATACTTGGTTATATGCTATTATGAAAAGGTATAAACATTTGTTTTCTATTAAATAAAAATCTTGATCTAACTATTTATCATTATATATTCTTACTTCGCTATTTGATTTTCATTTAATACTCGAATACAATCTTTAAATGTTATTATTGATTTATTTATATTATAAGTTTCTGTCAGCTGTTTTCCACTAATAATTATTGGTTGATTATCAATCAAATCACAAATTCCTAATTAAGAAATAAAATTAGAATAGAAAGTAAAGAAAAATTTTTATCTCCATACACATATGACTTATAATTGGTTCTTCATCAAATTTATTAGCTGTAATAAGCACTATACAAACTACCGCATGTGCTCTTGATGGTGCTTCATTAAGATTTGTTTTTGATGTTAAACGATCAGCAAAACCAAATTTAATAATATCTTCAGCTTCTTTTAGTGCAAATACAGGTATTTTTATAAGATTTTTAATAATTGTTGGATGATCATTTTGCATAAGACTAAGATATTTACGAATTTTCATATCTTTTGATTGAACAAGTAAATCAAGAATATTTTCATTATATAATTCAAAAAATAACATCCAGATTGAATAATGTTCATCGAATAAAATAAAGTAAAATATTTTTTTTTGTGAACTTTATTTTACCTTTAACGGAAAGAGCTTCTAAATTATTTTGTTGTTCAACTATATTTGGTAAACGAATTCGACGCTAGAAGAATAGAATAGTATTGAATAATTTGTTTGGAAAAGAATCTTACCATCTCAATTTTAAAAATATAATTTCGAACAGTTATTTCCATATTAAGGTCAGAATCAATTGTTAGTATTAAATTCTCAAGACCAACAGGTTTAAATAAAACTTTTTCATCAATATTTTGACCAACATTAAGAAATATTTAACGAAGACATTTTGAAATTAAATCTGACTCTTCAATTGTACCAAATATTGTATGAGTCTTACCTGAAATATCATTATTAAACTAAATTCATTCCAAGAGAATTACATATCACTATCTATCAAACCAAGTATACAAAGAAGTCAGTTAGAACCAGTAAAGATTTCATTTGTTGGTTGACCAAGAATTTGTTCGAACAATTATTGTTGAATACAACAATGATCGAATATTCCAGTGACCTTAATCAACGTTTGCGTATAATAACACTATTAACTGACATCTCCAATATTAACAAATTAGGAATTTTTAAGATGATTTACAAAACAACTGATAACTATTTTATTCATATTAAAAAATACCTCATATTCATTGTACGATGTTTGTAAAGTACAGGTAGTATTGTTAATTGTTGAATAGAGTTTAACAGTAATATATTTTTCATCACGAATATTAATCAATCTTTGATTTTCACCATGTTTGTAAAAATAGAATCTAAAAATTAAAGAATTCGTTCATTGTGAAAAAAGCCAACGAAATTTTATTCATGATTCCATTTGTCTATTTAATTGGTTGTTTTATTTGATAGGGAAGCAAAAAAAAATAATATTTTAAAATGAGAATTTGATACTTAATATTTAGACTAAATCATTTTTAAAATCTAAATGAGGATAAAACCTTACGTTAAATATAAAACTTACATTATTGTATTTTTATAGATGTCGTAAGTGACATTCACAGATTTATTAATGTGATCATATACCGAACATCAAACCGCTACTTACGATTTAAAATATTCATTTTCGAAAATTTTGTGTTGTGTTTTTGTTTTTCATTTGCAATGGCTTTACATGAAGCTTTAATAGCTTTACAAACTGGATGTAGTGGTTTATTAACATTAAAACAAGATGATCCTTATTTTAAAAAAGTGAATAAAAAAAATAAGGTTATTTTTTAATTTAAATTTTTTTTCTAGCGTCTTCCAACAATTCCATATGTTCATCAAGGTGAATTAGAAATTTTAGATCGACTTACACAACTTGGTCAACATTATCGTACACTTGATGAATATATTCAAAATATTTTTAAAGATAAAAAAAGTAAAAACAAAGGAAATCTTTTAATTTTTAATATCTTATATTTTCTAATCTAAGGTGGTTTATATATATTAAGTTTTGCTTTTGAATTACGTTCAATTCTTCAAACATATCTTAATTGTTTAAAACAACTTGAACATGAATGTCTTATTGATACATCATTAACATTATCACATCTTTTAATATCATTAACTGATTATAATCTTTTATTTCCTTCACTTGTTTCATTAATAAATAAACTTCAAACAAATGGTTATCGTGGTTGTCAAATTCTTGATATTATACGTCGTTATACATTAGATGGTAATATAATACTTTCATCAACAATGAAAAAATTATTATGTTCATGTCATAAGATATTTATTAAACAAATAACATCAATATTAACACGTGGACAAATTTATGATGAATATGATGAATTTTTTATTGGATTAAATAATAATATTAATATTGAAGCTATGGGTATGACAACACCAAGTATATCACGTATGACATCAACAATAACAAGTCGATCACATTCACCAGATAGAGATAAACAATTTAATTTACAAGTAAAAATTAAATTTAAAATTTTAATATATTAAGAATATGAAGTATCTCATATAAATGATCTTCTTTGTTATATAATATTTTTTATTAAATTCAATTTTCGAAATCTCCAATAAAAAACTCGTACTACAATTATTCTTTTCTATACAAAATTTCTCATTTCAAAAGTACTTAGAGCATAGATTATGGACTCAGCATATATATCACTAAACACTACCAGTTTTCAAGCATTTTAGTTGAAGAAAAAAAAAAACGAAGTTTTTCGATCGGACCTTTAAACGATTAAAGAAAAACGTTTTTGACGTAGTTCTAGTATTTTACTTTCCTTGAGTTTTAAGAACGATATATTTGAAGAAAAAATAAAACAGACATCTCGATTTAATCCTATCTTTATCAACTCCATATCTCTCTAAAGCAAGCATCTGAGAGTTTTGAGTCTATGGCAACTTTTGTTCTACTTATTGATGTCTATCCATCTTGAATATTTCATAATTTTTCGTTGAATCATTTCCGAGACACTATGGAAACGAGAGATCTGTCGAACTGTACAATCGATGGTTGAGCGAAAAAAATCTACAGGGTATCCAGAAAGTAACAAAACAAAGAATACATGCCTCTGTCATCCTTTGACCGAATGGGCTGATATTTTTATCACTAATAAAGAAAAGACATAGCTCATATTCATAACGGGAAATGTTATCAAAAATTGTTTTGAAGCAGTACAACTAACTTCAACAAAAAATTGTGACCTTTCACGAGTTATGAAAAAAATCAATATTACAGCTTTACCAATGATTGAAACTTCTAGAGTACACTGAATAACAAGTATGAGATAAAATAACACTAGTGTGGAGAAGTAATCGAAAAAAATGACACGTCGTTTATTCTTGACTAAGGAAATAAATATATTGGTTTTTTTGATAACTGGGAAAATGTTATAGTAGTTTCTCGTTGAAGTTAGTTGTACTACTTCAAAACAATTTTTAACAATGTTTCTCTTATGAATATGAACTATGTCTACTCCTTTATCAGTAGTAAAAATATCAGCCCATTTGGTTAAGATATGTATTCAAATTTTTTCTTTGTTTTGTTACTTTCTGAATATCCTATAGTTTTATAGAGAAAGAAAACTGACATAGCTAAAGTATTTTTTCCAAGACACATTTAGATCATCATCTACAATACAATGTCATAGGATTATATCATTGTTAGCTTTATCTCACGAGGACACCTCTTTCCAGATGTTGAAAAGCTTTTGAGCTGAAATTTTGCCCATAGGTAGGAAATGTATAAACTAGAAAAGACCTAAGAGGATGCGGACGTTTCACTATGATATTCTTGTATGATCTCAATTTTTCGGTGAAATCAAAGTTTTGAATTTTGTCTACTACAAGATGTCAATGAGATTAGCTTGTCTAGAGAATTTCAGAATTGTTGGACAAATTATCTCTGAGTTATCAATCCAAGTTTCACTACCAAATACTCATCTTTAGGAAACTATGGGTCCCAACTTGTCTTACAGAATATATAAATAGCTTTGTTTTTTTTTCTCATTTAGATGCCTCAACAAAATCCTACAATAACACCTGGTTATAGTCAATATCAATTAATACCTGATATGCTTCCATCATATATTCCACTTCAATTAGCTGATAAAATTTTATTTATTGGTGAATCATGGCTTATATTAAAAACAAATGATGAAGATAATGATAAAAATTTTTTATCAATAAATTCAATTGATTATGATGAACAAAATCATCGTGTACAACAACAATTATATGCATTAACACTTTCGGATGATTTTAATATATTTGAATTAGAACGTATTATTGAATATACAAGAATTGATTTATCATTAACATTAAGAAATTTATTTGTTGATCGTTTTCATTTATGTAATGAACTTGAACAAATTCGAGGTTTTTATTTAATTGAACATGGTGAACTTTTTTCATTATTTGTTAATCGTACAAATCAATTATTATTAAATATTAAAAAATCTACAAATGCTATTGAAAATGATATAAATGAAATTTTTAAACAATGTTTAAATGATTTACATTTAGAAACTATATTAACAAATGTTGATAAATTTAAATTTAAACTTAATTTTTCACATAATGATAATTCTACACAAGTAAGAACGATAGATCTTTTTCATAATGAACTCTTACCAATTATTAGTGCTTGCAATCAGGCTTTTTATTTGTCGTACACTGAAACTCAAAATATCATAAAGAATCAAAACACTTCCTGAATAGCAGCCACTGTCGTCCAGAATTCTTTGTATTTGTATTCAAAGTCTGTTCTTACCAAAAAAAAAAACGGCTATTTAACTTAATCAAAATACTAGAAATAAAGTTTTTATGTCTTTGATGATAACATATTTTTAAAATATTTCATCATTCAATAGAGCAGAGAAACTAATATCCATTTCAAAATAGAAGGCGAATGATTGCGAGTCGAATAACTCGGAAACGGAAGCAACTATGGAGCTGCAGTTTTCATCATTAAAAAGTGGACACCGGGATACGTAAATCTATGGAAAAATTTCATTGGTGAGTAATGGACCAATAGCATGAAAGTCCAATGGACATTTTGAAGATAGCTTTTGGAAGGCATTTTTCGTTGGATTTTCAAACTTCAATTAAACCATTCGATAGAAACCATTGTTCTCTTTCGACCTACATAACAGTGGTGATATTTGTTTTTTTATTTCAAAGTAACCTGAGATCATTATAGAAAAGTTTTTGAAATCTAGTTTTTGCTGCTATTTAGTTTAAAGAACATATATATTGAAAATCTCGACACAATGATCTCGGAATACTTTAAAATAAAAAACAAATATCACCACTGAATTCAGCATGGTCGATTTCAGGAAAATGCTTACAGTTACCGAACAGAGCAAGCTTATCGAGCCCGGCCTTGTGTAGATCGAAAGAGAACAATTTTTTCTATCGAATGATTTAATTAAAGTTTCAAAATCCAACGTAAAAAAAAAAAAACGTTTCAAAACCTATCTTCAAAATGTCTAGCGGACTTTCATGCTGTTAGCCCATTACTCACCAATGAAATTTTTCCATAGATTTACGTGTCCCGGTGTCCATTTGTTGAATCGTAAAAAAGCCGCAGCTACATAGCTGTTTCCATTCTCGAATTTCATTAGTTCTCTGCATCAATTAATCTTTTTGCAAGCAAATTATTTACTTAATTTTTTTTCATATGATCTACTGTAAAATGTGATACTATCAAATAATCTATAGGATTTCAAAATATACCTACTAACATTTTATAAATCATTCTTAGATGTATTTATCTAAATAAGGTTCAAGACTACAATCATATACTTCGTTTCATAGGAGATAGTTAGCAACTACGAGGAGCTGAACACTAGAGCCTGTCGGATAAGGTCAGGTTCGGTTCACTCTGAAAGTAAGAGCCAATTACAACCTTATTCTTATAAGATTGCTTGAAAAGTACTAGTCACAAAATACAAATAATCGAAAAACAAATTTCTCAAACCTTCAGAACGACTAATCTTAACGTCAAAGAAGATCCTTCTGCAGTCTCAATTGCATCTAAGTCATCATGGTCGAGTGTCTACGTTGTTTAGCATGTATCCAATAGAAATTATACGCAAATCTCGATATCACTAGTCATGGAATGACTCTGAACAAGTCACTAACAGTTGTTGGTCTCGAATTATTCATCTGATCAGACTAACCTCCTATCCAGAACAACAGTTAGTCATAGTTGTAGTGAAAATATCGAGCTACTGAGCCTGATATTAGACAACATTTCATATCAAAAGGCAGGAATATTTTTCTTTTCAATTACATTCATTCCGATAAACTTACTACATAGTACATGTTCTTATACTTTCTATGTCTATTTTTGATAGTGGTTCAATATTTTCAATCTAATTCATTTCCGCTGACTTGAGGTGGATGAAGAAAATCTATACTATTTAAAATAAACTTGATTACTATCAAAATATTTCGATTGATAACTACCGACATTTGATTTTTCTATCATAGGAAACAAGTACAGGATGTCGTCGTTTATTATCTCGAGTTCAAGGTATATCAGATAATTCTAATAATTCATTTGATTTTTGGTCATGTGGTTGGGCAAATTTATCAATTCAATATAATGTTAAATATCCAATGAAAGCATTTTTTAGTGAAAATTCCAAACAACGTTATAATGATATATTTCATTTATTAATTATTTTACGTTATGTTCAAAATGAATTAAATAATTTATGGTTAATATTAAAAAATCAACATAAAAATTCTTTAATATTGCATTTAAGAAATGCAATGTCTTTTTTTATAAATAATTTTCAATATTATATTCAAATTGATGTATTAGAATATAAATATCAACAATTAATACGTTCAATATTATCAAGTACTGATTTTCAAAAAATTAAATATTTACATGAAGTATTTTTATCTGATATTCAACAACATTCATTTATGCTTTTAGCAACAGCATATCAATCAATAAGAAATATTTTATCAATATGTGTTTCATTTTGTTTAACAGCAAAACAACAAGAAAATAATAATAATTTTGATGAAAATATTTTACGACAATTTGGACGAGATTTTAATGATGAAATAAGACTGTTATTTGGAATATTAGGAATGGTTCAAAAACATAATGCTTTACCACATTTAGGTGTTTTCTTAACAAGACTTGATTTCAATAGATTTTTAACAAATAATAATGGATCATTTGGAGAATTCTAAAAGACTAAAACAAAGATATTCATTCAATGTCAATCTCTTTTTTTTTTGTTTGTTTTTTGCTTTGTTTCACTATAAAATAGATAAATATCAATAGTTATTCGACTCAGGTTTTTTTTTTCAAAACACAAAATACAATGAGTATTCAGTTGGATATAATAACTTTTATTGTTTATAAAAATGCATCTTGACTTCCTAATAATATTAATATTAAAAGCGAATGAAGAACTTCTCGATATAATATGATTAGCTGTGTTAAATCGAAGCTATCAATAGATATGTCATGAAGTCAATTGTGTAGTGCAGGTAAACTAGTCTTGATTTTGAGGAGAGTAGGGGCGCGGACACAGATCATTTGTTCAATCTCATGTACGCCTTGAAAATCAGAAAATCTTTCAGCTATGTTTACCATGCCAAAATATTCTTTTAGTGACGTCAAGCTTACTCTAGAATCGTACAAACATAGATGCACTATGGTCGAGAAAGTTATTTGTTGCTGATATATGTGCTTGAAAAATTTTAAAAAAAACCACCATCGTAGTAACAGACAGACTGCTATTGAAGTCAATATGTACACGGTAAATATTAACTAAAAGTTTACAAGAACATATGAGAAAACTCAAAATACAAAATTACACTACTGCATACATGGAAAGTAAATTCAAACCGCTCGAATAAAAAAAATTGATTAATTTTGACATCGATCAATTATTGATAATAGAGGATTGCAAATATTGAAAATTAATCAAAACAGTAAGCTACTTATGTACGCTATAAACATTGCTCATCATATCAAGCAATAGACCAGATGATTATCAAACGATGGATGGAGATTAAGGGTGCGAACGATTGGCAGAACAGTATGCTACGTCACTCACGTCTAGACCCGTTGCACGTTTCTGTCTCGTTTCGTTTTATCAACGAATTTTACAAGGGCTAATTATTGTCTTTCATGCTTTTGTAGTTCCTCGATGACTGGAATGACATAGCACGCGCTCCGAAAAGCTCTGATAGACATTCGTATAGGTGTGAGCAGCCGTGCAGGATTATCACATCTGCTTCCATTGTATACTGTATGGTTCGATCTACGCTGAGGAAGGTGTGGCTGTGGAAGTACTGTTCTACTGATACGGATCCTCACTCACACCCACACCCCACACACTTTATTCTTTTATTAAATCAGGAAGAAAAGAACCATCTATTGTCTAATAAAGGATTGTAGAGGAGACCCAGAGCTATCTATCTATGAAAAAAAACGATAGGTTTCTACCCGAAACTTTTAAGCAAAATCCTTGTTTTCCAGAAAATTCTTCTAGATTCCAATATCGAAAGGTTTTTAAGAATTGAGTTTGATAGTAAAAACGTAGTCTAGAGTGTCCTGTTTCTATTGCTGAAAACTTCAGATCGATAGCTTTTGTGGGTTTTGAATTATTATTCGAAAAACAACCAACTGCATTATATTTTGACATCGATATTCATATTCTCATTCATTCCTTGCACATCGTTTTAGTACTGTAATTATTTATAAATCAATCTAATTTCGACATATTTTATTTAAATAATCATTCATCACAATTAGCATATCTCTGTGTAAGGAAAATAGTCTTTTACATGTTTAAGAATCGTATATTCACCATGTAGACGTAAATAACGCAACTTTGCACAATTGATTCGTGTTATATTTCTTTGAAAATTGTGTGTCACTCTTGCTAGTGATTGATAATCAATAATAAGATAAAGATTATTCGACAAACACATTTTCGTATCAAACAAAAATTGTTCAATATAATCATCATGAACACAACCTAGATTAAGTAGAGTAAGATGAGGATATTTGATAATTGATAAAGTTTGATCATAATTTTTGAAATTTTCATATTGTTTTTTGTTTTGTGGTTTTTGATTAATTACAGTTAATTCTTTCATAAATGGAAATGATTTTTGAATTCGAAGAAAGAATTCATGTTCAAAAGGTTGTTCATCAAATAGTGACACTTCAGTAACATATTTAAATAATCCACCTGGAAAATTATTTGTAATATTTCTATAAAATTTTAATTTATATGGATATGAATAAATGTGATATTCACTGTGTCCTGCCTCAGGAAAATAATTAACATAAGAAATAATTTTATTATTTTGAAGACTATTGAATGTATGTTGAATATCTTCATTTAATGGTAAACGAATTTCATCACAAAAATATCTCATTGAACGTATGTTAAATACAAAATTTTTTAATCCTGGTATTCGATTGATAATATTTTTCTTCAAATCATTACTATCAACAAATTCTTGATTACATTCGATCATAAGATGTAAATCAAGTTTTTCTAAATTGATCATTCGATATAGAAGTGGTAGAATTGATCTTTCATAACTATTTGTAGTGCTATCACAATGAAGCGAAAAACATTTTAAACTAGATAATTTTTCCTAAAATAAAAAGAAAATACTTCAATTCATTTAAATAAATTAAATATTAATCTACCTTATTATTGATTGTTGTAGCTAAAGCGAAAAGGGAAAAAATATGAACATGAAATGAATGAAGTTGATTGAAACGTCCATCAAGTAAATAAAGACAATCAATAAAATGATCCAAACAGACATGTAATTCTAAGAGAGTTGAAGAAATAATAGTTGGAGGTGGAATACCAAATGATAATCGTTGATAGAAAATTGAAGATGGACCAAAATTTAGATATTTTAAATTGGGGAACATAGTAAAGATTTGTGTAAATATAAATATATGCTGATATTCTGATGAACTTTGTTCGTCATTTTCCACAATATCAATAACAAGCGATAAGATTTGATTTTTCAAGAGAGGATTGAAAAAACTTTCGTCTAAATAAAAATAATATTCATTAATTAATTATAAAGAGGATCGAAAAAAAATCTTACCAGTAAAGAGCGATGGAGCTACTTCTACATTAATATCATACAGACCAAGTCCATATAAATTTGGATAATTTGTAGCAGAAAGAATACGTTTCATAGACGATGATTCAAGATTAAGCCATTGGATTTTATTATGAATTTCAGGTAAAATTTGTGAACAAAATCGATTAAGCATTGGATCTGGTAATGGACAGATGTAATGATCATCCGAAAAATATTGATATAAGTTCAAACAACTTGAAAAAATTGAATCATGTGCAATTGTATTGAGTCGTTTATTAACACCTATGAAATAGTAGAGCACTTCGACATTGTATAATTTTTTCAAAATAATCATAATTATCTCATCAGGTAAATCATTTAATCGAGCCCAGAAATGTTCCATATTTATTTTCATTCTATTTTTTTTAACTCACACATATGAATATTTATATACATACGTTCATTTCATCTATTTGACCGATATCGTCAGTGAGAACAATGATGTTTTACATAGTTTAAATCGACAGTGAATGAATGAATAAAAAAATGGCATTGTTTCTTCGCCTGTTTTCTTATTCTACATGTCGATGAACATTGGCACAATATCTTTATTTTTAATATACTAAACATTATAATATGGTGGTCAATATGTTGTTTGTATTTGTTAGAATACATTCTTTAAGAGCTAAAGATTATTTTGTTTAGATATTTGTTAAATACGTGGAAAGATGATATTCAACAATTATTCGTATCGATCTCGTATATTTTATTTCGACGTAATTATTTATAAAATTATTATAAATAAAAAAATAAAATGTATTATTTTCTAACTCAAATTCTTCTATAATAAATTCATTTGTTTGTTAATTAAAAAAATAATATCGTATTTTTGTTATAAATAACAACGTTTCATTCAGAAGTCAGAGAAATTAAAAAAAAAAAGATCAATTGTTCTGTAGGTGTTTTACACTCAGTCCTCGCAAACCAAATAAGTACACAAACCAATGGGAGAAAAACTTGTTCCAAACTATTCGACTAGTTGGGCTTTAAAATTGAGTTTTAGCGCCTTAACATTACCAGAATTGTTATTTTTGAACTCTAATGATTGTGTCGATGAAATGTGATAGAAATGTATTAACTGTTTATCACTTCCTTTATAACCATAAATTTGACTTCTATAAGAGAATGAAAGGAAGATGATTAGAAGATTTTATCTTTCTTTCTAAAGGAAATGACGCTTTTACATAATCTATATCCTTTCCTGGCTAAGTATTTTTGTCGTTAAACTACTTTTTGATTGTCAGTTGTGTGAATATATGGAATCATCGAATCAGACATCTTATATTTTAATATTAGAATAAAAGAAATACAAAATGTCTGTAAGTTCTTTTTTTGTCGTCTATGGCTACTTAAATAGTGTAACAAAGCAAACATTACGTCTGAATAAATTAGCATGATTTCGAATAATTCAGAATGTTGAAGCTTTTTTCCTTTATATTAATCTTTAATTTGTCTATCATGTGATGTCCAATTGAAGAAAAACTATTGATTCTCAAAGTGTTGGATACATCTACTTGCGAAATCTAGGCTAATTTAGTTCGAAAATTTATTCAAATCGGTTTAATTGAAAAATGATAATCTTAGAAGTAATACTATCTTTAAAATGTCAATATAGTACTTGGTAAAAATTCTGCATAGACACGAATGTTTCAAAATAGATGGAAATCCGAATCAGGTTTTCTTCATTCATATAAACTTTATACTGAATTTTGTTTGTTTCAAAAAGAATCGTTTTTTTCGAGTGATACTCTTGTCTATCACCGTCGATCGAAAGCTCTTATGAAATATCAAAACTAAAGAGAAAACTCGTTTTTTTGAATCCAGATGGATTGATTTGATCTCAATTCAATTAAGAAGTATAGATTTGATCCAATAGATGACACTTATTCTATATATGCCACTAGTTTACGTATACTGATTAGAATCATATTTACTGAATGTAGAAAGAATATTTTCGTCACTACCATTGTAAAACAAAACTTTTATTTGACAACTACACAAGGAATACTTTCTGTATGATAATTATCAAGAAATAGTCTTACTACCATTAGCAATCA